AAAAGCCAGAAGTGGTGCTGTGGCTCAAGTGGTAGAGCGCTAGCCTTGAGCTGAAGAGCTGAGGGACAGCGCCCAGGCTGAGTCACTGTCCTGGTCCACCTGTTAGGAGTAGGGTCGCTGGGAGGACTTCCCCCATTCACTTCCTGGCACCTTCAAGATTTTGTCTGTACACTGCCATGGGCCTGGCCACTCCCCTTGTTCAGTCCTCCAGCCCCACCCTGGCCGTTGTGCTGGTGGTCTTCCCTTACCGCTAGTTCCCAGGTCTACTAGCCCTGTGGCTGCCTTGTGTGGGCTGCGGCTACCCGTTCTTCACTTCAACAGAACTCTGACAGCCATATTTTTGCAAAGAGTCCAGGTTCCTGACTTAGTATTGGGTCAGAGGAATGGATAAGCACAAAGCTTACCATTGTTTAGCCCTTTGACATTGACTTGCTGTCTGCCTGGTGCCACACACTTAAACCTGAGCGCGTGCACGCATGCACACACACACACACACACACACACACACACACGGTCAAGATCACTCCTGTACTGGGCGCTGGTGGCTCATACCTGTAGTCCTAGCTCCTCAGGAGGCTGAGATCTGAGGATCCTAGTTTGAAGCCAGCCCAGGCAGGAAAGTCCATGACATCCTGATCTCCAACCAAACACTTTCCTCCCATTCCCCCCAAAAAATCCAGAAGTGGAGCTCAAGTGGTAGAACGCTAGCTTTGAGCAAAAGAAGTTTAGGGACAGGTGCCCAGGCCCTGAGTTCAAGCCCTAGGGCCAGCGCGTGTGCGTGCCCCGCCCCCACAGATCTGTCCATAATTGGTTTTTTCCCTATGTGGCAGTCATCACAAGTTGCACACTCCATCCTCAACTCCTGCTCCAGGGACTGTGTCTCCATACATGGCTTGTCCCCGTATGCCAACTGCCTCTTTGAGGCAGGGTTTGGGTCTTAGAGTGCTCATAATACCTTAACTTGACCCGATGGACATGCAAGCTGCCCAGGAAACCCTGTAAAAGTCTGGCCTGCCTCCCCCCAGATCTCTGAGTCGGCAGCTAACTTCTGTAGTCTCCACTGGGGGAAACCTGTGATCAGGCAGGAATAACACAGCTACAACCTCAAAGCGACTTGTCACCTCCATTTTCTGAACCCTAAGGGCCACACAGCCAATTCATGCTGACCAAGGCCTGGAGGCCCTCCTGTCTCCTCCTCGTGCCTCCAGAGATGAGAACCGTCAAGGCAGAAGCAGAGGCTAAGCAACACTCCGAGTAAAAGCCCTCCCTGCCCTGCTCTCTGCCCGAGGCAGTGAGGAGGAAGGACCTATATCCTTTCCCAAATGATCCTTTGCATCTTTGTAGATGCAATTAAGTGGAAGCTCTCAAGATGAAATCATCCTGGAGCTGGGGAAGGTTTTAAATCCAGATAAAAAGTGTCCCGGTAAGTGGTGTCAAGGTAAGAAGATGATACCAGATGATACCAGAGGGAAGGGCCATGTAAAGACTGACTGGGGCAAATTAGAGCGATGCTACCACAAGCCAAGGAATGCCGGGAGCCACCAGAAGCTAAAAGAGGCAGGAAGAACCCTACCCGAGATGCAGCAGGCGCCTGGCTCTGCCACACCCTGATTTCAGCTCTTGTCTCCAGAACTGGGAGAAAATACAAGTCTGTTGTTCTCGGCCACCAATAGGTTTGAGCAGACCAAATCCCCCAGCACCCTAGCCCCTCTGCCAGGTAGCCCAGCCCTGAGCCATGCTTTCTCTCTCACTCCCAGCTGTTTCCTGCCAAGACCTGAGAGCTGCCTTCCAGAACTTTCTCCCTTCCACCTTGCCTGTCCCCTCTCATGTCTCCCTTATCACCTCCTGCCCAGAAAACTGCGATGGCCACCAGAATGAGCCTCAAAAGTGGAGGAACTCCCAACCTCAGGCCTCACCTCAGTATCCCCAGATCCCCTACCTAGTGTTCAAGGCCTCCACCAAGGCCTTGGCCAAACCACCACCTTTCCAGTCTGGCTTCTCTCAGTTCTATCCTTAGACTTCTGCCTCACAGATCCCTCTGCCTGGAACACAATCTACCTACGTGGGCCCCGCCCAGCCTCTGAGACCATATCAAGTGGTATGGCACTTACTCTACATTCCCTGATCTTCAAAATCTGGACGCTTCCAGGACACTGGGTGTGGCTGGTCCTTCGCCCATTCTAAAAGGCCATTGGCCACAAGGACCTGGTGCACCAGCTCCTCTCTGAACCCCCATTGGCCCAGCCCTTCCTTCAGCCATTCAACACATGGCTCCTGGGCACCTACCTCCCCCAGCCAGGTGGCAAAACCAAGAGCCCCAAGGCAGGCAAGGGCCTGGTTGTCATGGCAACCAGGGGGTCAGTGGGTAGGACTAGAGGAGTGCGTTGCACTGGAGTCAGTGATGTAGATTTGGGGGACAGGGGTTGATTCTGTCTCCCACCCAGCGGGCATGGGATCCCCCCATCCCTTTCCTTATTTATTTATTTATTTATTTCTTCATGGGGTTTGAACTCAGGGCCTAGGCCCTGTCCCTGATTTTTTTTTTCCTCAAGGCTAGCACTCTACCACTTTAAGTTCCACTTCCAGCTTTTTGGTGGTTAATTGGAGACAAGAGTCTCATGGCTTCAAACTGCGATCCTCAGATCTCAGCCTCCTGAGTAGCTAGGATTACAGGCGTGAGCCACCGGCTCCCCGGCTGGCTCCCTTTCCTTTTCTATTTTCCATTCAACTTAATCTTTTGGCCAACCACACTGCTATCTTTCAGAGTTTCGTCCTGTAATGGATGGGGGTGGGCATAGAGGGGGCAAGCTACCTTCTCCAGATCCCTGGCTGCACGCGTCTCCCTGTGTCTGGGTCCCCAGCCCCCACCCCACACCCACTGCCCCACCCTGCTCCCCGGTGCTGGGGAACCTAGGGCTGACTCACTGCCACCCACCCCAGAGCCTGCCCTCCCTCTCCAGCCACTGTCTGGCTCATCTATCTGGTGGATGGGGGTGGGGGGGTCAGGGGCAGGCAGGGCAGAGATCCATGAGGCTGCCTGAAGCCCAGCGGAGAAGCATCTCAACTTCTCCTGAACAAGAACACCCTTGTTGCCGTGGTTACAGCAAAGCCCCCCCCAGACACCCTCCCCCCACCACATACACCTACCCACCCAGTACTCACAGTGCAGCCAGGCGAGTCCCCGTGGCATGGTGGATGCTCAGGGTTCCCCGCCACCTCTGAGAGCAGAGGTGCTGGTCCCCCTGTGCTGTGTTCCCCAGAGATGCAAGCAGAGGCTACATGGCCTTGGGTCAGCCAAGGGGGCCACCACGTCCAGGAAGGGCTGCCCCCCCCAGAGGAGCAGCGGGCAGCAGGGAGGGACAGAGCGCCCTATCTGCCTGGCAGAGCAGAGGACAGCCAGGGGGCAGTGGCCGCCAGCCCCATGGCCGCCAAGGTGCTGATGGGAGCCAGCAGCCTCCCGGTCTTCTCCTTCCTTCTTTCCTTCTGAGGAGGAGGAGGAGGAAGAGGAGGAGGAGGAGGAGGAGGGAGTCCCCAGCAGGCCCCTCGGAATCTAGGGCTGGGTGGCGCTTTCTCTGATTTCTCTGACTGCAGCTGCTCAGTGTGAAGTCTGGCCCTGGAAAAAGAAGGAGGAGGGAGACTTGATTATGTAAGAAGCGGCGCTGCTGCTGCCACTCAGTCCCCACGCAGACAGAGGAGCCCACCTCGCCCCCTGCACCCACCACCTGGCCAGGGACAGCCCGCCCTGGCGGCTGGCCACGCGGGGACACGGCTCCCACAGAGCCAGTGACTCCGGGATCCCCAGCAGCTGCATGGGGCCAAGGAAGGAGTTCTCGTGACATTGGCTGCCAGCCTTGGCCCACACAAAAGCCACCCGAGAAAGGCTGGGGCAGTGAGGTTCACAGGCCCGGCAGCTGCCCCGAGGAGGCGGCAAGGAAGGCCAGGTGAAGCGTGGGTCTGCAGGGAGCTGAAAGGCAGAAGCCGCTTAGCCCTGCTCACCTTTGGACTTAGTTCCATCCTCATATCAACCCCCAGTGCACTTTTTCTGCCAGGTAAAATACTGCTGGTCTAGTTATATTGGAATCCTAGTTAAATACTTTATGAGTGTGTGTGTGTGTGTGTGTGTGTGTGTGTGTGTGTGTGTGTGTGTGTGTGTGTGTGTGTATTTAGCACAAGTGTGTCCCAAATATTGCAGGGGATAGACATGTCAAGAAAGTATTCATGGTTGCCAGGCACTGGTGACTCACTCCCATAATCCTAAGCTACTCTAGAAGCTGAGATCTGAGCATCTTTGTTTGAAGCCAACCTGCGTAGATAAATCAGAAAGATTACAGGCACTGGGAAGGTGGCTGTTTGCACATTTCACTATAATTAAAAAGTGGAACAGGGGCTGGGAAGGTGGCTCAGTGGTAGAGTGATTGCCTTGCATGCATGAGGCCCGGGGTTCGATTCCTCAGCACCACATAAGCAGAAAAAGCCAGAAGTGGGGCTGAGGCTCAAGTGGTAGAGCGCTGGTCTACAGCTGAAGAGCTGGGGGACAGTGCCCAGGCCTAGAGTTCAGGCCCCACAACCAACAAAAAAAAAAAAGAGAAAGATTCCAATAAACCAGCAAAAACAGAAATAGAGGTGTAGCACAAGTGACAGAGCACCAGCCTTGGGCTAAAAAGCCAAGGATCATGGTTCAAAGCCAGCCCTGCCAGAAAAGTCTGTGGGACTCTTTTTCTTGGGGGGGGGGTCCGGTCGTGGGCCTGAACTCTGGGCCTGGGCGCTGTCCCTCAGCTCTTAAGCTCAAGGCTAACGCTCTACCACTTGAGCCACAGCGCCACTTCCGGCTTTTTTTTTTCTTATGTGGTGCTGAGGAACCGAACCCAGGGCCTCAGGCATGCAAGGCAAGCGCTCTACCACTGAGCCAACAAACCACCAGAAAACCAGAAGTGGAGCAGTGGCTCAAAGTGGTAAAGTGCTAGCCTTGGACAAAAAGAGCTCAGGGACAGTGCCTAGGCCTTGAGTTCAAGCCTCACTACTAGTTTACACAAAAAAGTATTCATTGTAGCTGGATATGTTAGTGTACATCTATAATTTCAGCATGCTGGAGGCTGAGGCAGGAAGATCTTAAATTCAAGGCCAGCCTGAGGTATGTAATACGACCCTAGCTCAAAAATAAACAGAGAAGAAGGAGGAGAAGGAAGAAGAAAAGAAGGAAGAGGGAGAGGAGGAGTTTGGACTACTGTCCCCATTTTGTAGATGAGGCTGAGCTGGCCAGTGGCAGGGTGAGATGCAGTCTCAGACCAGGTTCGAATCCATCCCCTTGTGCCTTCTGTTCCCCTCTGGTCAGGAGATGTGGCCATAGGTTGAGGGCATAGGATGGGAGGGTCCTCTCTCTGTGGCATCCACACAGAATGTACCAGAATTGCTTGGCCAAGGAGTATAGGTCATGCTTACCTAGTACGTATGAAGCCCTCAGTTGAATCTCTAGCACTGGGAAGAGAAGGAGGAGGAGGAAAAGGAGGAAGGAAAAGGAGAAAGAATAGAAGGAGAAGAAATAGGAGGAGAAGGAGGAAGAGGAGGAGGAAGAGGAAAAGCTCCCCACCGACAGGTAGGGCCCCAGTAAAACAGAGTTGGTCAAATTCACGGGTTGTTCTCAGTGTGGCACCACCTGGCCCTCATCCCCACTGCCCTTCCCCTGCTCTGCCCCTCCTCCTCCTCCTCCTCCTCCTCCTCCTCCAACTCACCCTGGCATGATCACTACCAACAGTACTCTTTTGGTAGGCCTTTTTGGTGGTGTTGTGAAAGTATAATTTATACGTGCAAAATTCACCTTTGTTTTCTTTTCTTTTCTTTCTTTCTTTCTTTCTGTCTCTCTCTCTCTCTCTTTCTTTCTTCCTTCCTTCCTTTCTTTCTTTCGTCAGGTGTGGGTCTTGGACTCAGGGCTTGGGCACTGTCCCTGAGCTTTTTCGCTGAAGGCTAGCCCTCTGTCACTTTGAGCCACAGCTCCACTTCCAGTTTTCTGGTTAATTGGAATAAGTCTCGTGGCCTTTCCTACTTTCCTGGCTTCAAACCACCCTTCTCAGATCTCAGCCTCCTGAGTAGCTAGGATTACAGGCGTGAGCCACTGGCGCCCGGCCAAAATTCACCTTTAACCATGTGCAATTCCAGGAATTTAGACAAATTCAAAGAGCAATAATCAAGGTAGAGAATATTTCCACTTATCCACAGAGTCCCTCCTGGCACTCTGTCATGAACGCCTCTTCCTTCCTAGCACTAAGCAACGGCCCATCTGTTTTCTGTCCAGCACTTTCTTCCAGAATGTCACATACACGCACTCCTCGGTGCTGCCTCACGTATCTCTCTCCTTCCACGTGGCAGGCTACACCTGGGCTACTGTCATCTTGTCACACGTGTAAGTGGGCTCCTACTTTTCCTTGCTCTGTACTAGCCCATCACGTAGACAGGTGTTGTGTGTATGTCCCCAGGGGAAGGGCACTAGGGAAACTCCCAGCTTTTTTAAAATAATTAATTAATTTTTGCCAGTCCTGAGGACTGAACTCAGGGCCTGGGCACTGTTCCTGAGCTTCTTTTTTGCTCAAGGCTAGCACTCTACCACTTGATCCACAGTGCCACTTCGGGCTTTCTCTGTGTATGTGGTACTGAGGAGTCAAACCCAGGGATTCGTGCATGCTTGGCAAGCACTCTACCACTAAGCCCCCTTCCCAGCACACTTCCCAGCTTCTGATGCTAACACAGGAGGCCGTGGCAGGCTGGTGCTGGTGTGAAAGAATCTTCCCTCTCTCTTGGGCTCATTTAACTTTTCAGTTATGGCCCTTCATTCCACTGCACTCTGCGCGCTGCCCACGGGGCCGGGGCTGCTGCCCATCAGGCTATGCATGTGCACAGCACTGAGAAATACACAGCTCAGCCACTGCCCCCCCCCAGGCACATGCCATCCTGTCCATGTCCCACAAACCCTTGCGGTAGCCCCCAGCACTGAATCGCACCACACGTCCTGAGCTGCTAATGCCTGATGGAAGCAAGCAAGCCGAGGAGTGGCATCATCTCACCCCATGCTATATTTGTACCAAGTCCTGAACCTGGCCCACCATTCATCTGTGGGCCCATTCCTGGACCTAAACCAAAATAGGGGAAGGAGAGAAAGCCCAAGGGGGATGAATGCCAGATGCAGGAGCTGAGGACACATGGTAGAGGCTTTTGACAGGATGACAGATGGAGTCTAAAGCCTTCAGAGCTCTTCCCTGATGAATGAAGGAGGTCTTCAAGCCTTCTGCTTCCACGGCCTCCTCCAGTGCCGGGGAGACCAGGCCTGCCCCTCAGTCTCTCTCTGGGGGTGGAGAGAGGTGGATGAAGATTTTGGAAATGTGTCTCTCCTCCACACCACCCCTGGGACTTACAGCATTACTGGGAAGTTCATGTGGGCAAGAGTTGTGCAAAACAAAAAACTAGAAGTGGGTGTAGTTGTCTGCATAGCTCAGTGGTGAAGAACGTTTTCAAAGTCATAGAAATAAATTTTTTAAAAATGACTATCAATTTCAGCGAATGCTGACATGTACGGGGAGGGCCAAGGTCAGGGAGAGGGCTGGTGTGCAGGGACGAAAGGGGTAACAGAACTGGGTCTGCCCTGGAGGGAAATGTAGAGATGAGGACTGAATGAGAGCGACCCGGTGAGGGAGTTTAAGGAGATTAGATCCATAGGTGATTGGGTGCTTTGTTTCCTATTGTTTTATTTTTATAGAACAGAACCCAGGGCCCTGCTTATCCCAGATAATCCTATAATCCTAGCCATTCTCAAGATCGTGGTCCAAAGGCAGCTTGGGCAGATAAATCAGAGAGACTTCAATGAACTAGCAAAAAGCTGAAAATGGAAGGGTGGCTCAAGTGGTAGGGCACTAGCCTTGAATAAAAAGGTTAAAAGAGAGCTTGAGGCCTTGGGTTCAAGCCCCAGTACAGAACAAAAACATAAAAACAGCCAAGAAGAAGACAAAGGAAGCCGGGTGCTAGAGGCTCACGCCTGTAATTCTAGTTACTGGGGAGGCTGAGATCTGAGGATCGGAGTTCAAAGCCAGCCCTGGCAGGAAAGTCCATGAGACTCTTATCTCCAATAAACCACCAAAAACCAGAAGTGGTGCTGTGGCTCAAGTGGTAGAGCGCTTGCCTTGAGCTGAAGAGCTGAGGTTCAGCGCCCAGGCCCAGAGTTCAAGCCCCATGACAGACAAAAAGAAAAAGGGAGGAGGAGGAGGAGGAGGAAAGTCCTGTCAATCCAGCAAGGTCCTGTTTAGACTGGGGCTTCACTGTCCCTTCCTTTCCACAGCCACCTGCTCTGATCCTTCTATCCTCTACCTGAGAGCCAAGACCACCCCTGAGGGAGGGAGCAATGGAACCTGGGTTAGAATCATGGTAGTTTGACCCGAGAGCCCATGCCTGGCATAGGCCTATGCAGTTGATTAATCAAGACATTCACAAGAGGCCCCACGTGCCCACTCTCCCAGCCATGGAGCCCATCATCCCTAAAATACAGAGGTTGGAGATAAACCTGTTCTATTTCGTGAGGTGAGCTGATCCAGGTTGGCCTCTGCCCCCTCTTGCTTCTGGGAAGACCTGGCC